ATTTAAAATAACAATACTGAAAGAGGGAGAGAAAGACAATTCAAAACAATGAACCCATAATTATTGAAAATTTTTGAAATTATTAATATCTACTTCTAAATATCAGRGCATTTTTTAAAAATAATTTTTTCAAAAATAGTTAAGATAAAATATTTACAAAATCTGATTTTATTAGCTTCATTTTATCAATTGCGGGTTAAAACTAGTATACCTTATATTTTTAACTGTCTCTATAACTCTCCCTTTTACGAGTTTGAGAGGTCCATTCCTTTTATAACCGTTTAACAAAAATCCTTACAATCTATCTGCATTACTTACCAATGCTAACTTTGTGAATATAAGACTAGGCTAATAAATAAATATGTACAATATGTATTGAACAACACCATAAAGTTATAATAAGAAATAAACAAATATATATGTTACCTTCAAAGCCGGAAATCAGACATTACTAGTAAATCCTCGGCATTACTATGAATGTGGAGAGCCTTCAAACGAAGTCGGAAATTGAAAAATTCTTCCAGGCATCGAACATAATACTTTGATATTCTATAGAATATCAAATTACTATTTAAACAACGTTGAAAAGAATACATCCTCGAGCATTGGCCAGACGCAAACCCCCCCCCCCCATCAAACAACCCACTACCCGCTTCCATACACACACAAATCACACATGCGATCGGCTGATGAAGGAGCTGAAAGGAAAAACGAAGGTTTTGGACTTGTTTGAAAAGATAAGGAGAAACAAGATAAAGGCAAGGATATCGGTATCGGATTGATTAATTCATAAAGGACCGCCGACCTCGTACACTACATATCTACAGGTGCATTCTTATTATAGGAATAAGGAAAGAGAGAGATTTTCCGTGGACATTTCTACGAATATCTGTCTAAWTATAATATATTCTTCACATACGATAAGTAACAGTGGGCCCTATATAATAACACACGGGTATAGAATAAGTTCCAATTTCTACAAGTGCGCACAGTCTTATATACTCGCGTATAAAAACCCGCGCACTAGAATTAACGGAGTAG